CTTTTTTTTCTTTTTGCTTATGTGGTGCTGAGGAATCAAACCCAGGGCCTCAGGCATGCAAGGCAAGCACTCTACCACTGAGCCACCTTCCCAGCCCCGAGACCATGTATTCTTGAACAGATTGATTTCATCTTAATTCACAGGATAATTGGAATTTTTTACTTAGATTCATTTCAAACATTTTTTTCCAGCATAACATTAACTCCCAGTGACCTGAAATCACTCCATGAATACAAAAAAATAGCTTTTCTCTGGTGCTTTAAGGAAAGCATTAATTATGTGTCATCTTCATAAAAATATGAAAATGCTCATTAAAATTGCTTTTGTGTTCTGTGGTTCAGATGAAGAGCATATTTTTAAATGGATACAAAAGATTAAGATATGCTTTTGAAGTCAGATCACTTGGGTTTAAACTTCTAGTTCCACTTCTTATTACCTATACTTTTCTCTTTTCTTCTGGAGGTGGGGAATGTAGAGGGTAGGAAATTCTCATGTTCTTCACCAAGGAAAATGTTATAGCACCTTCTTCTTGTGATTTATGCATATAGGTTTGAAAAGATATATAAAGAAATATCAAGACGTCACATCTCCCTAAAAGGCATACCACCTTTAATTTTATTTTAGTAATTATATTTAAGTAAAAGTTAACATAGGTATAACTATCAGAAAAACAGATGATCACTGAGTAAGACGTGTTATATTTTTGTGAAATGTTGGTGGCTCATATCTGTGATTTTAGCTGCCCAAAAGGCTGAGACCTGAAGACTCAATGTTTAAAGCCAAATGAGCACAAAAATTGGTGAAGCTCCATTTCCAGTTAATCGGCATAAAGCAAGGCTGGAGACTTGGCTCAAATGGTAGAATACCAACCATGAGCAAGGAAGCTGAACAAGAGCATGAGGCACAGAGCTTAATCCATATTCTCAATATAGGTTAATAGTGATACTGAATTTTATGTATTTATATGAGAGATACTTATCGTAAGTCTAATATAGTCGAGTCAAATTTTTCTAGGAAGATTTTTTCTTTATTTATTCATACAACACATAATCACTAAAATGTACCCAACCAGACAGTATAGGACATGTTAATGAAAAGAAGTTCTTACTAGTTAATGAAGAGCTTAAATGAGCTGGAAAGAAGAGAAGAAACTTTATCATCTTATATAACTAACATTGCATCACAGATGACTATAGAATGTATAAACAAGATGCCATGTAAATTCAGATGACAAATATGATTACTAATTAACAATTCTAAGTTCAACTACAAAAGAAATTTGGCTTTTGAATTACATTCCAAACTCTGTGATTTTATATATATATATATATATATATATATATACACACTGAGGTTGAAAGGAATCTATGACATGAAGTATCTATCTGGAAAGGCTCACAAATGAATATAGAAATAGGAATGTATTGAGGTGTCCCTTAAAACGAAAGGCAATAGTACAAGTGCCAATGGCTCACACCTATAATCTCATGCTCTGATGATCACATGAAATCCTGTGATGTGAGGATCACAGTTCAAAGCCTGCCCATTCTGGAAAATTTGTGAGACTTTTATCTCCACTTAACCACCAGAAAGCCAGAAGTGGGGCTGTGTCTCAAGTGGTAGAATGCTAACATTGAGCAAAAAATCTCGGGAACAATGCCTAGGTCCTGAGTTCAAGCACCAAGACCAACACACACACACACACACACACACACACCAACAAATTAGATGGAGTACTCGAATAAGATGATCCCCCATTAGAGAAGAAGTCTGAAAATCTAAGTCTTTGGTTGGTACCAAAGAATAGACTGTACATCCTATGACTCTAGTCAATGGTTTATGTCCTAGTGAACTGATTTTTTTTTTCTTCTACAGGTTTCTCTGGTGAGCTTGGTAGCCACTGCTCTGGGCTATTCAGAACTTGGTGCCATTAAATCCCTACGGACACTAAGAGCTTTACGACCACTGAGAGCCTTATCCCGGTTTGAAGGCATGAGGGTATGATGACTAGATGAAGTCTAAGCTTCATATCAAATTTATATGGATGTTTTAGATACAGGGGAAGACACACTCTTCTGATAGTTATTTTATAGTTACACATGTAGGCAGAGCACTATTGCCTTTAGTAAGCTCTGCTTACTAAAACTAAATACATTTAAACAGACCCTCAGAACTTAGGGCACAATTAAGGCAAGAATCTAAGTTCTGGGCCCACAGTTCAAGGAAATTTCTGACACACCAAGAGACAACATACTAGTTATGTCTCTCTTTCTTTTCCTTCTCCTTCTCATCTTACTTGCTTTTCTGGTTGTATTAGTGTTGGAACTCAGAGCTTCATGCTTGCTAGGCAGATGCTTTAGCCTTTGAACAATGTCCCAGGTTTTTGGCTTTGAGTCTTCTTTGCAGATAGGATCTCATGCTTTTTCTAGGACTGGCCTCAGGCCAAAATCCTCCCACAATCACCATGTGCATATTGGAATTTAAGGTACTCACACCTGGTTGTTTCTTTTTTATTACTTAGCCACTTTGAAATAACTATTTACTATTGACATTGGTTACACGAGGACTTTTAATCTTACTTTTGATTCCTCAAAAAGTACTATAGCTAGTTGCAATGGCTCACACATGCCATCCTAGCTCCTAATGAAAGAATTCAAGTTGGACAAAAGCCATTTTGTATAGGAAAGTTAAAAAAAAAAGGACTGAGATTCAGGCACTGGCCTAGGCAAAAAAGTGATACCCTATGTTAAATAAATCATGTAAAAGAAAGCAGAAGGAGTGGTTCAGCAGTAGAGCACCTGCTTAGCAGCCACAAAGACCTGAGTTCAAATTCTAGTACTGCAAAAATAAATACTAGCAGTAAAATAAAAGCAAAAGGTTATTGTATGTGCATTACTTCTTGAATTAATATTAGTATTGAAATTTGTTTTGTATAAAGAAACACATTAAGTCATAGCACCCACCAAACTTGCACATTCTAAGCAGCTGAAGTAGTTGTTAGGATAATTATTTCAGGCAAGCATAAGCTTCCATTTACAGATCTAAAATTTGAGGACACAATTTGAATAAGGTTCATTTTCTCTCCAGTCTTCTTCCTTAGTAATTACATCATGCATCTAAACATTACATGCAACTTGCCACACCCCTCTCAGAACTATTTTGCACAAAGCCAGCTTTGTTTAATCTGCCTTGCAAATGCACACGGATATTGAATTTCTTCAAGGCCAGAAGGTTTTTACATTAGGAGGTGGTTTGTTTGGGGCAATAAAAACCCTTTAGCCTTGACTGCAAAATTTGTTCATCAAGGAGAAAAAAAAGAAAGAAAGAAACACTCTTCAGCCTCTCTGGGAACACTGAAAGCAAAAATAAAAAATACTTGGTTCTTGCACTATGATTTTATTTCATGGATACTGTTAACAAATACACAACAATTACTATATAATTTCAAGTTATTTTCAAAACAATCGTCTATCATTACTGATACTACTTGAGCCCTCAAGAGGATTCATGTTAATAGTTCATTTGTGAGCCAAGGCAGCAATTGTAAATTATGGAAAACTTATAAATTTGCCCTAATCACAAAAGTATCTGTAATTCACTCATATAGAAGATCAACATTTCAACTAAATGTACAATTTATTTGAAGACTTTATAAAGGCAATTTTATACAAATCTTGATTTTAAAATTTACATGTCAAATATAGTATATATGACTTAATTTCCAAAGGGAGTAAAATTCAATTAGCACAGAAATTTTAAAGTAATTTTTAGGATTAGATTTTGATGTTAACCTAAAATCTGTAGTGTTAAATTCTAAAATAATTTTTTTTGTCAGTCATGGGGCTTGAACTCAGCCTGGGCGCTGTCCCTCAGCTCTTCAGCTCAAATAGCGCCACTTCTGGTTTTCTAGTGGTTTATAGAGATCAGTCTCACCGACTTTCTGGCTGGCTTTGAACCGCCATCCTCAGATCTCAACTGCTTGAGTAGCTAGGATTACAGGCGTGAGCCACCTGCTCCCGGCTTCTTTAATAAATTTTAAATAAAGCAATTGTGCCCTTTAGTAACAAATGCTTAATAAAAATAACCCAATACGAGGCAGATTAAATTAGGTAAGAAAAGTTGCTGTTGGGTTCTTTAGAGATTTTATATTTTACTTAATCCGAATTTGAAGAAATTACAGGTGATTTTATTCCTTCTCTACAAAGTAGGAAAAACAGGTTTAATTGAATGGCATTTTCCCTCAAAGGGAAATTGTGAAATAATAATAATAAGGACATATTTACTATTTTCATGTCTAAAGACTAAACTTATCTCCTTAGCATCCTGAGTGGCTAAGTTTACTCACATGAGCCACCGGTGACTAGCTTGTTTACAAATTTTAAAATAAAACAATTGTATCATTTAGTAATAAATGCTTAATAAAAAATTCCTAATTTACTGTAGTTCTTTAAAATTAAAGGAAATAAAGGCTTTTTGTTTCTAATTCTATTCTTCATAGTAATAAAAAGTTATCTTAATCTGAGAAGACTGAACTAAGACATTTGTAACACTTTACTTATTTGTAAACGTTTCATTTGTTTTTCAAATCATCATTCATTCATTATTGCTCTGGAAGACTAAACTATATTGCTGAACAATGATTATTCCCTCATTGTTGTTTAATGCAGTTTTCTTTTTTCTTTTCTCCCCAGCATGTACATGTTTTCTGATTCCATCTTGCCCTATCAGGTTTCATTTGCTTTCTTTCTATACTTTATCATATTCAGCTTTCCTTAAATCCTTAGCACTTCAGTGGTATTGCCATTTGTTGCTCCTTACCAACTATGTACTAGAAAATATGTGAAGAAACATATTAAAAGTAGAAGTCTCCCCTCATTATTGCAAATACCCCTTAGTAGTAAACATACTAATGATCAGAATGTTTTCATTTTAAGAGTCTTTACCTTCTCTTCTGTTCCTGTCCTGCTCCAGGTGGTTGTGAACGCACTTGTGGGAGCAATCCCCTCCATCATGAATGTGCTCCTGGTTTGTCTCATCTTCTGGCTTATTTTTAGCATCATGGGTGTGAATCTGTTTGCGGGCAAATTCTACCACTGTGTTAACATGACAACAGGTGACACATTTGATGTTGGCATAGTCAACAATTTCAGCGACTGCCAGGCTCTTGGCAAGCAAGCCCGTTGGAAAAACGTAAAAGTAAATTTTGATAATGTTGGTGCTGGCTATCTCGCTTTGCTTCAGGTGGTAAGTGGCTTCTCTATGAGCTTCCTAAACACTTTACTAAAGAGGGTTTCTCTGGTATTCATTCTTGGAGTATCCATTTTCTTAGTATTCATTTATTCATTCGACATTAAGGAAGTAGTTGATGGTAACAACTATATTGCTAGTTTAACTTGACTTAAAAAAGATACTAGAAGAGTCGGTGGCTCACGCCTGTAATCCTAGCTAATTAGGAGGCTGAGATCTGAGGATCACGGTTCAATGCCAGCCCGGGCAGGAAAGTCAGTGAGACTCTTTAATAAACCACTGGAAAACCAGAAGTGGCACTATGACTCAAGCGGTAGAGGGCTAGCCTTGAGCACAGGGACAGCGCCTAAGTCCAGAGTTCAAGTCCCACAACTGACAAAAAAAAGATATTAGGGTTGTTTAATACTTTTCTTACAGTTAAATATGCATTTATGTAATTATATATTGTTTCTGCCTATTTTTCTTGTCAATATTAAGTACCATACTATTTTAATTTTTTGTGGCAGTTGTTTCCAAACAAGCAATTCTATGTATTCAAATAGCAATGTATGCATGGTAGTGATAAGCTAAATGTTATAAATTATTAATCAAGCAATATATTATAGTAATAGTTTAACTGTAATTCTACAATGCTTAGAAATACATAAAGTAGAACGCAAAATACACAAGATTTCAAAATATGTAAAGCTTTACTCAATTAGTTCATAACTAGTGAAAGTGTATTGTGTTTAAACATAACAAAAGGATTGAATCACAAAGTTTATCTTAAAGAGACACAAGACTGAGACATGGTTAACAATGATCAAACCTCTCATTAAGCTTTTCTATAAACATATCTTGTGTCTCAGAAAAAACAAGTTTCAGACTCTAAGTAACATTTTTTTTCAATTTCGTTTCTTCATTCAATTCTTTTAAATCTATTCATAGAGATTTCACAATGTTATTTAAATAATAATTCTTTCAGAACTTTTTCTGGTAAAATGTCATTGTCTTGGATCAAGTATCTATGGAAAATTCAAATATATATTGTTTACAGGCCACATTCAAAGGCTGGATGGATATTATGTATGCAGCTGTTGATTCACGAGAGGTAAGTGTCACTCAAACATTATTTATAGCTACTAGATTTTCCATGACCACCATTAGTGATAATTTAACTGAGTCAGAATCTATTGCATAAAATCAGAATATTACTGTATTCACATTTAGTAGTGGTTACTTAATTTATATAGATCTAATATGCAATATACACTGCATATCAACTGTAAAAAGCTGTCTAAGTTGAGACACCAAATGACTTCTATAAAACATGAAATATGCAGTGTTGAAGTGACTCAGTGAGAAGGGCATTGTTTCTTGCACCACTGAGAGTATGGCCAACTAGCCTTTGAAGCAAGTCTTAAGGCTATTATGACACAGAAGAGCCTGTAAGTTTCAAGGAAACTCACTTTTGAAAACAAATTAACGTAGTTCCTAAGAAAATATCTATACTTTATTTTACCTTCAGAAGATGATGTTCTTTCTAAAACTACCCTGAAAATATTGCATGAAGTTATGATAATAAGACTAATCATAGGAGCTGGCCTTATTTATATCTTTGTTGTTTATGCTAAAGAATATTTTGCAGGTAAGATAAAATGGGAATATAAGTCCAAGAATAACTGTTAGTCAAGTATGCTTGTAATTCAGTACTTAAGATGCCTGGAGGTAATCAGAGGAAGACGAGAGAGAGAGAGAGAGAGAGAGAGAGAGCACAATGTACATATTCTCATGTTAGTTTTAAAAATACTTTTTATGTAAGAATATAAGACAAGGTAAAATAGTTTGATATGAAGGAATAGCATCATTATGTCATTTTAAAATACCTAACATTTTCAACTTTATTTAGGTTAAGCTTCAGCCTGTATATGAAGAAAATCTGTATATGTATTTATATTTTGTCATCTTTATCATCTTTGGATCTTTCTTCACCCTGAATCTATTCATTGGTGTCATCATAGATAACTTCAACCAGCAGAAAAAGAAGATAAGTATTTCTCAGTTTCCATCTTTCCTTATTCTGATTTTTTTTACTGTTATGCAACCAAGTCAGGTGTATATTATTTTCAGTTTACTATATGGTCAGTTAACCTACCAGTCCCTTTGGAAGTTTCTATGCAGATCTGTCAACTGCAGAGCTGGTCTAGTTTCTATCTTACACAAAAATGTGATTATAGCTACAGGGATTGTTGCCACCCATTTATCCAACTTTATTTTCTTCTGTCATTGTCTGTCTACTGTCATGATACCAAGATGGACTAGGAAAACATTTTACCTCGTGAAAATAAAACTGAAGCTCTAACTTTTCTTCTTTCTAAACTTAATCAAAGTAGGAGCCTGTACTAGTCAGAAGTTTATGTGTTTATAGGCAGTGCATAATATTAAACTATGTAAAATTTTACCTATATAGGCTAAGCAGAAAAAAAGTCTATATTTAGCAGGATCAATTTAAAAACTGAGAAAAGATGAAAGGATGACTCAGAAATAGTTTGGTCAAAGTGTTATTGTGACATATGTTGGGATTGTAACCAGTTTTTATACTATGTCTTTACTTTGGAGGTCAAGATATCTTCATGACAGAGGAACAGAAAAAATATTATAATGCCATGAAGAAACTTGGATCCAAGAAACCTCAGAAACCCATACCCCGTCCTGCAGTAAGAATAACTCATATTCTTTAAAATTTCAATGCTGCCATGGGTCCTTTGTAATCAAATTGGGCAATGCCTTGTATATTAAGCAATATCACCAACATACAGTCCTAATTATAAAATCTGTAACCAATATAACAGTTTCCAAGCTCATAAAAGAAGAAAATGATTTTTGTAATTTGTAAGTTGAAAGCACAAACTCCAGCTTCCCAAACCACGCTTGCCCCTGCTATTGACAAACATACTCTGGGTTCTGTTCCTCTGATCTCATTATTTAGCATTTTCTCATCCTTTATGTAGATGGTTATTTCTAGACTGCTCACCTATCCTGCTGGCTTCCCTTGTTTCTTTCATTAAGACTAGAAAATATTTCCAACCATTTTATAAAAGAAGACTGCCATCAAAATTATTTATTGTTTCATCAAATACAGAAAAAGTAAAAAGAGACTTGCTCAGAATGCATAGTCTAAAGAACTTCATAACAATTGAATGACATAACAATGATAAATTATGTCCACAGAGCTGTACTCCAACTCATCTCTACCCTGAGACAGGTTAAAAAGAAATGAGACTGGAGTCCACTGGATATAATTATTGCAGCTCAGATCACAAAGACTGATTAACAGAACTGGTACTTCACAAGGTCTTAAGAATCCTATAAATGGTTTCATTCCATGATGTACTTACTGCTAGTCATTTAAGTTTGGGAAGATGATCAGTTCATGACAGTTGGTTTGTTGTAACCCATGGAATGTATTTTATTCTAAATTATCTTTAAATACCTTAATGAATACAATTATACTAATAGTCATATCAATATAGGAATATTTGAAAACAGATGATTGCTGAGATGCTTGCTAATTATACCAAAAAGGAAAAAGTCACATATTTTTGTTAATTATAGATATAGGAAAAATCCAGAGAATGACTGATGAGTTAAAAGACAAATACCTAGTCACACAGAGCTAGAGACTTGAGGAAGTATCAGATAATCCCAAATTATTAATATAATCATGGATTCTAGCTATATTCACCTACTTTGTAAACTTTCATTATTGGTTGTCATTGTCTTCTTAAGAATTATCATGGCTATGCAAATCAAGCAAAGCCTCTGCCTACTATAAGCCAGTCACTGCCAATTTATGTCTTATACAGTTATGTCTTCCCAAGACTAAATATCCAAAACATGCTTTTTTGTTGTTGTTGTTGTTTTAACATGAGGCTTTGCTGCAATTTTAAAACATGGAGCAAAAAGGAGCACCAGATTGTTTAAGATAAGATGAGGAGGGTGTGCATATCTTGACAGTATATGGAACTTTATCTGAACGTTTACTGGATCATTGTTTATGGTCTGTTACATATTTATGATCCATTTATATATGTATATAGATTTTCTCTCTATTCTTTCTCTCTCTCTCTTTTAGAACAAATTTCAAGGAATGGTCTTTGATTTTGTAACGAGGCAAGTCTTTGATATCAGCATCATGATCCTCATCTGCCTCAACATGGTCACCATGATGGTGGAGACTGATGACCAGAGCAAATACATGACCCTAGTTTTGTCCCGGATCAACCTTGTCTTCATTGTCCTGTTCACTGGAGAGTTTGTGCTGAAGCTCATCTCTCTCAGATACTACTACTTCACTATAGGCTGGAACATCTTTGACTTTGTGGTTGTGATTCTCTCCATTGTAGGTAAGAACAGGCCAAACACAGAAAGTGTGTTGGGTGCCAGTGGCTCACACCTCTCATCCTAGCTCCTCAGGGGGCTAAGATCTGAGGATTGCCATTTAAGGCCAGGCAGGGAAGGAAAGTCCGAAAACAGTTACTCAGAAAAAAGCCAGAGTGGAGCTGTAGCTCAAGTATTAGAATGTGATAGCCTTGAGAAAAAGAAGCTCAGAGACAACAACCTTTCCACCTTCAAGCCCCAGGACCTGCATCCTCCCCACCAAAAAATTTAGAGAAGTGCATTCACAGGAAAGGGTTTCCCAACTCCATCCATCTACCCATGTACTTAACATCAAAAGTAGGCTTGTATACAAATCTGAAGCTTACTGCCAATATATTTGAACACAAATTTTAAAACATTGCCTAGTGGACAAAGCTAAACAGAAACTAGGTTATCAATGCTAGATTTGGGGAGACTGGAAGACTAAATCAGCAAACAAAAATGATCAGATCCTTTCCTACTCCTTACCAAAGTCATAGAATGGGAAATTAGGCATAAGTCTTTGAAAAATAGATTTGGGAATTGCAGTTCAAAGCCAGCCAGGGCAGAGAATGAGGGCAGGGCAGAAATGGAACTGTGGTACAAGTGGAAGAGTGCTAGCCTTGAGCACAAAAATTCAGGGACAGTGCTCACACCCAGAGTTCAAGTCACAAGACTGGCAAAAATAATGATGTAATATATCTGTATCTAAACAGTATTTCAAGAAGCACTGAAAATAAAGTAATTCTTCTCCATGCAGTTAACACAATCTTTCCACTAGTAAGAATAATGACATCTGAGATTGGTCCTCAAAGACGGGTTGAGATTTAACAAGAGAACAAAAGCACACTGGCAATTATAGAAATCCAAATTTAGAACATCATGTTAAAGATAGTCTTTTTTTCCCTAAGTGAAAACGTCATTATTCAAATAGAAAACAATGTATTCATAATTTCAAATTTTATCTTTATTTGTCTTTGCCACATTTCATGGGTTGGGTTAGCTATTCTTACTACAGAATTTTAAATTGCCATACTAGTATTAACATTATTTTGGATATTTAAGAAATCCATATTAAATATAACATTATAGAATAACTAAATAAACCTCAATAATCTTTAATTGCTGACATAGAGAATGTTCAGTGAAGAACTATCTACATCATGGGTTTGTTTTTGCAGAGCATGCAAGAATCATTCATATAAACACAAGATATACACTATTTGAGTTCTATATTTTTTCCCCACAGGAATGTTTCTGGCAGATCTAATAGAAAAATACTTCGTGTCCCCCACCCTGTTCCGAGTGATCCGCCTTGCCCGGATTGGCCGAATCCTTCGTCTCATCAAAGGGGCCAAGGGGATCCGCACGCTGCTCTTCGCTCTGATGATGTCCCTTCCTGCCTTGTTCAACATCGGCCTCCTGCTCTTCCTTGTCATGTTCATCTACGCCATCTTCGGGATGTCCAACTTTGCCTACGTGAAAAGGGAAGTTGGAATTGATGACATGTTCAACTTTGAGACGTTTGGCAACAGCATGATTTGCCTGTTCCAAATTACCACGTCTGCGGGCTGGGATGGGTTGCTAGCCCCGATTCTTAACAGTGGACCCCCAGACTGTGACCCTGATGCAATTCACCCAGGAAGCTCAGTGAAGGGAGACTGCGGGAACCCATCCGTTGGGATTTTCTTTTTTGTCAGCTACATCATCATCTCCTTCCTGGTGGTGGTGAACATGTACATCGCTGTCATCCTGGAGAACTTCAGTGTGGCCACGGAAGAAAGTACTGAGCCCCTGAGCGAGGATGACTTTGAGATGTTCTATGAAGTTTGGGAGAAGTTCGATCCGGATGCGACCCAGTTCATAGAATTCGCCAAGCTCTCTGATTTTGCAGCTGCCCTGGATCCTCCCCTTCTCATAGCAAAACCCAACAAAGTCCAGCTCATTGCCATGGACCTGCCCATGGTAAGTGGAGACCGGATCCACTGCCTCGACATCTTGTTTGCTTTTACAAAGCGTGTTTTGGGGGAGAGTGGAGAGATGGACGCCCTTCGAATACAGATGGAGGATCGATTCATGGCCTCGAACCCCTCCAAGGTCTCTTACGAGCCCATCACAACCACTCTGAAACGCAAGCAAGAGGAGGTGTCTGCTGCTATTATCCAGCGTAATTACAGATGTTATCTTCTAAAGCAAAGATTAAAAAATATATCAGGTAACTATAACAAAGAGACAATCAAAGGGAGGATTGACTTACCTATCAAAGGAGACATGATTATTGACAAACTAAATGGGAATTCCACTCCAGAGAAAACAGATGGAAGCTCCTCCACCACCTCTCCTCCTTCCTACGATAGCGTCACAAAGCCAGACAAGGAAAAATTTGAGAAAGACAAAACAGAAAAAGAAAGCAAAGGGAAAGAGGCCAGAGAAAATCAAAAGTAAAAACAACAAAAAAAGAAACAAAGAATTTTATCTATATAATCAATTGTTTACAGCCTATGAAGGTAAAGTATATGTGTCAACTGGACTCCCAGAGGAGATCCATGCCAAACTGACTGTTGCAACACACACTCATGGTCAGTGCCTACACAAGACAGTAACCTCTCTGTTGGTCCCACGCTGTTAGACAGGGCATCAACATTGACAAGAGGTTGCTGTTTTCATTACCAGCTGACACTGCTGAGGGGAAGTCAGTGGCTACCTGGTCTATAGGGATTGTTGTGTGATCATTGTAACTACACCAAACACCATTATTAGTACAGCTCTCTCATCCACATGATTTTAACTCCACCTCTGCCATATTTTAAAGAATTTGTCCTAGTGGTCGCTGATTCATAGTTTATTCATAATACAATGTCACTATTTTTGTAAAATGAGGTTTATGTTACGGGGAAATTATATAAGAACCCATGCATCTATTCCAAAGGCTCTCCAATAATTAGAAAATAATTATTTTGCCTATTGGATAAAATTCTTGCTCCAAACCAGAAAAAATTCTAATGTTAAGCAGTTGCAGGTACTTCCATTTTCTACACGGCTTTAATTTTTTAAGTGTTCTATTCATTATGTTAGTTTCTATCTGAGCAGTTACATGCCTATAAAGTCTCTTCTAATATTTAAAGGATTATTTTTATGCAAAGTATTCTGTTTCAGCAAGTGCAAATTTTATTCTAAGTTCCAGAGCTCTATATATTTAATTTTGGTTAAATGTTCCCCCTCCCCAAAATATAATGTAATAAATTTGTTCTAAAAATGTATATCTAAAGTATCACTTTAGAATAGTCCTTCCACTTTCTGCTGCAGTATTGCTTTGCCATATTCTGCTCTCAGCAAGGCTGACAATATGTAAATAGTTATTTTATCCTGTGGTGCATGTTTGGGCAAATATATATGCATATATATAGCCTGATAAACAACTTCTATTAAATCAAATATGTACCACAGTGTATGTGTCTTTTGCGAGCTTCCAACAGGGATATAACCTGTACCATCATCACACAGAAATAGTTTGAAGGCTATCACTAACGCATGTTAATATTGTCTATCCTCCTCTTCTATTTGACTCAACCCATTTTTCACAAGTCTTGGTTAGAGTTACATGATGGTGGTAGAATGAATTAACCTGCTCTCTGTGTTTATGTGAAGAAGACCATTTCAAAGTTATTTACAAACATCTTTACTTTTGCATTTTTAATTCTTTAGAATTATGTCTCTTTTTGAAAGAAATAGACTGCATATGGCCTATACTCAAAACCTATACATCATATTTTGCAAAAAAGTTCAAAACTTGTTAAATAATGTAAAATATGATCAATTTTATTTGTCAACATTTGTACATAAGAAAATTATTTTCAGGTTGATGACATGAAAATTTAATTTTACTTTATGCTTTTGCTTTCTATTTTTAATCACAATTCAAGTCTTTTGAATCTGTAGACTTTTCAGCAGATAATTTCCTAAGATAAAAGCTAGACTATGGGTTTTATGGATTTCTTTGTTATAATATATTTTCTACCATTCTAAGTGATACATTGGTCAAAACCTTAAACCTAGACAGTTTTCTACCAACTATGGTTGCCTCCCAATAACCCTTCATTCATGGAAGTTTGTTCGTTTTTTTAACTCAACTTTTGTAGTATTTGCATATGCAGACTAGGCTTATTTTTTTAATTCCTGCTGCACTAAAGCTATTACAGATATAATATGGGCTCTGTCCTTTTTAGCCATGAACAAAAATGGCAATGTTGTGCAATTATTTAATGATATAATTTTTTGTTTCTTGCACAAACCAAAAGTATAATGTTAATTCCTTTTACAAAACTATTTACTGTAGTGTATTGATGAGCTGCATGCAGGGAATTGCTATTACTAAAAGAATGGTGATCTACTTCATTATTGAGCCAAAAGAATAAATATTTCATTTTTTATTGTATCTCCTTTGTTGGCCTCTGATTCTTTTTTATTCTTGGCATTTAAAAATATACATAATTAACAAAACCTATATTTCACCTGATAAGTGTAAACATAAATGTTTACCTAAAATTTACAAATAAATAAAGGCTAATTAAAAGCAGTTTTGTGAACTATGTGAATACAGAGCATTAAGCCCATACATCCCAACTTTTGGGTTGAAAATACAGAACTGCCAATAGAATAATAGCCACCATGAATGGCTGTCAATTTCAGTTAATTCCTTTGGTGATTAGCATTTTACTCTCAGTTTCTTTTGATGAAACTGATGTCATCTCTTAACTTTTTGGTGACTAACATATATCTAGTTTAGTACTCCAGTGCACCCTATGAACTATTTATACATAAAGTATCAATGATACAGAGATTGAATAATTAGGTTAAGTTTTTAATGATCCCTTGGATTTTTCTCAGGTCAAAAGCAAACTTTTATCCTAGCGGAAAACTCAAACTTTAGTTCATATTTTAAAACAATTTGAATCTCATGTGAATTTGATCATTGCCACAAAATAAATACAAGGTGGCTAATGGAATTCATTTGGTTTCTTTCCTTTCCAGTCAATTTATAGATCTTGCTGACATCATAGAGGAGCCAAGTATTTCTTTTCAAAATCCTTACTTTTTTATACATCCTGATATAGAATCATTCTCTAAACATTCTTTAAGCAATCTGTTAATTAGTCTGAATAATATTAGGCTATCTTCAAAATATTCACAAGAGCCATTAGTTGAAATGATAATATTTTAAAAATACTTCAATAAAGATTATTATTGTTCAGAATATAGAATCAACAATATGAATTGATTGATTTTTTTAGATTACTGCTTCCAAGGCTAAGGATGTGGCTTAGTTATAGAATGGTTAGCTATCATATTCAAGGCCCAAAGTTTGATCACCAAAAGAAAAAAGATAGAAAGGAAAGAAAGAAAGAGAGAGAGAGAGAGTGGAAGGTAGGAATGAAGGAAGGAAGGAAGGAAGGAAGGAAGGAAGGAAGGAAGGAAGGAAGGAAAGAACTTATACTTTCATAAGAAAAGTCCTTCTATTAATAGAGGTCATGATAAACTTCTGCTTGGGAAATCAGTAGGACTAACAATAAAGATGACCTTAGAAATAATAATACCATGAAATGAAAGAAACTTAATTCCACAAACAAGTGACACTAAATGATTAGTCTTCAGTTTAAAAAATTACATGAAAAGAAAAATGAAAATATTTGTTTTTAAATATTGTAGCCCAGAAATAATGACTAGGTAAATTTACACACCTTATGAACTTTGAAATATCTAGGATACAATAAGATAAAGTGACAACCACTGTTTTTTGCATTTTAAAATACTGAGTAATTATTTTTAAAATGCGGACTATTCTTATGGAAATATAAAAGGAACTGGCTAAGCCACCAGTCCTTACATTTGATTTTAATGTCATTTGGGCATCAAGTTAACTATGTAATTCAAGCAAATCTAATTTTAGTCCTTTTCAGATTCCTGCTAGATTATGTGAGGATGTTGAATGTGAGTTCTTGTCTATAGTCTTTGATTTCATGTTCCATATCAAATCACTTATTCAAAACAAGCAATTTTCCCTATATGGACAATAATTAATGAAAAACATACATTGTCAAAATACTGTTAAAAACATTACTCATAAATCTTTAACAGAGAGAAATAATTTTTTAACTTTATTAAGGAAAAATCACCTTATTATTACAAATTATTCCAAAATCTTAAAAATAATTTAAATAATGAAAAGATTATTATTTCTTTGCTACGCTACCACTGGTATCTAAAAGAGATTATCTGCTATGTAACAATAAAACACATTAGGATGAATAAATCACCACTAATTTGTAAAATTGTCTCAAACACAAACTTTTCAATTATAACATTTACCTCAACAGCCCAAGAAGCTATGTTAACAGGGCTTAGGGAACATTTCCTGGAATTCAGTTTTTCATTACAAAAGAATAAAATATTCACATTTCTCTCATAATAACACTCAGAACATTTTATTCTGTGACAGAAAAAATAATTATTGATGCATCCAAAATTGGATGGATACTGAGTCTTATGAGTTCTTTTCACTACATTTCTTTAATCACTTTTTCTCCCCAGGATATTTGTCTCTCATAATCTATTGACATAGTGAAACATGTATTCAAAAGTCTCTAAATCTGAAAGTTCCCAGAGAATCAGTTTCCTCTTGTCATTATGAAATATGTGATATAAGTTGTTTTCGTATACCCTACTACCATCTTCTATCCACCACTTCACAATTTATGACCTCTTCCCAAGTTACATAACCCCCAGTGTTGCTATGCTTTCATATCTCTCTTCTCTTGGAATCTGCTACTCTTCAGCTGGGATGTTCTTCTACCTTTCTTTTCCTAGAAAATCATTGTCACCTTTCTATAATTGCCTCGAACGTCATCACGTTTTAAGAGATTTCCTCAAACTTCTCCAAGAGAAATAAATCATTTCTCCTCAAGGTTTCTCATGTGTATGTATGGTGGTATTTGTCATGACTTGTTTTAATGACCTGAACACTCATCACTTCTCAATGATTATAGTGTATCCAAGAAATAGGGCACATTAATTTTCTTGTCTCCCTATCCTTTAATTCATTGTGACTACCAAGACAATGTGACTGTCAGTATTCAGATATATAACTAGTAAAATGTATTCTTTCTGGACCATACAAAAATAATTATACATCAAACAAAAAATTAATGTTTCAGTTTGTACTGAAGATTATTCTGAAATTCATTAGTAATCAGATAATCCTTACTTAACTGAAATATTTTCAAATAACTTAGAAATACTGTGTAGCAATAACTACAACCTAAAAGGAAGTACTATAATAAAACTTGATTTACACAAATTCTATCAATGAAATATATTTCTATTGACTTTTGTCCTCAATTAGAAAAATGGTACTTGAGCAAAAAATATGTTTGGTTTTACTTGGGTATCTTATTGTTAGATATTCTTTATTTTAATAATTCAAGTGGGCATTGGTATATCAGTAATGCACTGATAACCTTTCAGTTTAATCTTCTGTATGTATATTTCAGTCATGTGGTGAGACTCTAAAACTTTCCTCTCAGAAAATACCTAAAGAGGGAGAAAGAACTATTTAAAGATGATTTTAATGCATAGATGTACTTAGAAGACAGCAAAGAAATTTCTCTAGGGGCCAATAGATAAAGGTAAGCCAGCACTGAAATTAGAGGTAATGTTCTATTGTTTCCTACTGATTCCAGAGGCCTAGCTTGGTTTCTATTACAAGCTGTGATGTTTAATTTTGATTTTTAACTCCACTGGATTAATAAAAGCCTAGGAGATTAGTAAAGCATAACTCCAGATATGTCTGCAAGAGCAGATGAACTAGAGGATCAGATCACCATGTTTCAGACTTAGTAAATTAGCCCTTTGATAGTTTCATAATGTGAATGTCATCATTGAGAGACAGTAAAAGGTAGAAAGTGAGGCCCAGTTGGAGGAGGAACGAGGTCTTGGATGTGTGTCCTTGGAGGCTTAATCTTTCCCTAAACTGTTCCTATTTATTCCCATTTCTCTGCTTCCTGGCTGCCATGGTCTAAACTATATTGCTCCCCAATGCCTTGCCTGTTACAAGGCACTGGTTTCCCTGAAACAATGAGCCAAAATAAATGATTATTTCTTTTAAGTTGTGTGTAGCAGATATTGAACAACACCAACACAAAGATAACAAGCCTGCACTCAGGGATGAGAAGAAAAGGATTTGAATGCATATATTGATTAGAGGTCCTCCTTAAATTCAGGTGTCTTAAAGAGTTTTCTTTAATGAAAGGGTTTCTAAAAATCAGCCTGTAGCAAACAATGTTTTTAAAGTTGTAGGTTTATGAAAACTGTCTCTCTCGAAACTCACAATCAGAAAGTAAATTCTATCCT